ATGCTTATCTTTTGTTTTTGTGGTTATTGCTTTTGAATATTGTTTTCCGTTTTTTTTTCTTTTTCAATTTATGAATAAGTCCATACATATCTATATACCATTATATTTTTGTCTTTATTTGTTATTCTGGTTTTATATATGAATCCTGTAGATGAGTTTTTTCTTTGAAGAGCTTTCCTGAGAAGATATTCAGAGGGAAAGAAGGGTAATCAGAACTGGCTGGGTCTTCCTTAGCAGCTACATATGCTTAGCTGGGGCTTTTTTTTGGGCACTTTGGCTCACTGTGGATGTCAATGATAATCAACCCAGAGGACTATTGTTATGTTGCAGTGACTTAATCAGTTTCTGTTATCAGGGAATTGGCATTATTCTATTTTGCAGCCAACTAACGCTGTCAATGCGGAAAGTAAGTATCTTTGTGCCAAAGTTAGGAGAAGTCATCTTTGGAGCATGAGTTTGACTACTGGCAGGGACTCCAGCCACGATCCAACAAACCTTAAAGCAGAGTGCTCACTCACACATGCACTAACACAAAAACACACCCTCGATCTCACACACAGTATATACAAGCGCATACACACACACACACTCCTCTCACTCTACCCTCAGCTGTAGCAGATGTGCCGACCTGGCATCAGAGTGCCCGGACAGATATTTACACTTTACACCGTATATGTAGCACTTTTGTGATTCTCCATTCAAGTAAGGCACATCTTATCCGCTGGGAGTAGAGTTACTGTCTGTGAGCTTATATCTCCGTTAGCGTGTCCAAACTGATGACAACATCAACATATAGAATACAATCGACCTTAGAGCACTCCCCGATGATGTCAGTAGACAAATACATGCACACTTTCAGCACGGACAAAAAAACATCCACTCGTGATAGCAACATTATGCATCAACACAGCGATCAAAGACATATGCAAGTCAAAAGCAGGAATCCTTATGGAAGACATTTTGGAATCAGACTCAGGGCTTTTCAGTAAGGACCAAACCCTAGCTGCTCTCAGGCACGCTAGAAAACAGGCAATATTTATGTGTGTATTCTTGACTCCGCTCAAACCCCTCTGCGTGTACATAGAAGGTCACAAGTCTGAAAAAACAGCATGGATGCCAGTCTGACTCTCCCAGAGGGGCACAAATCATCATCATCATCATCATCACTGCCCTGCCTGTGCTCGCACTGGCATCCATGCAGCAAACTGCCTTCTCATCCCAAAAGCCATTATATCATCTTGTCTTCTTGTGTATATCTTCACCTCTCTTTAAAGGAGCCGTGGAGGATTATGTGTTCTCGTGTATCATTTCTTTATTGCCAAAATGTCTCTGTTGGCGATCAGCTGGGAGAGTGCGGCTGATATACAGTACAGAGGGTTTTTTCTGTCTCTCTTTGAAGCAATATGAACATTCTCTCTGTAGCGATGAGAAGTCCCATCTTCTAAATATGGGCAGGTCTCCTCATTTTGAGTCGTGTGTGTGTGTGTGTGTGTGTGTGTGTGTGTGTGTGTGTGTGTGTGTGTGTGTGTGTGTGTGTGTGTGTGTGTGTGTGTGTGTGTGTGTGTGTGTGAGAGAGAGAGAGAGAGAATGCTTTTAACATGTTTTCAGTCATTGGGTGAATGTCCTCGGCATGGTGCTGTCATACAAAAACACTTGTGTGATGACCTCATCCCTTCTCTCTCTGCTGGGCTATCATGATGTTAATGATGGTAATGCAGGCAGAACATTGAGATTATGTTGTTTTATGTTTTTGTTTTTCAACATGGCCAAGGTGTTGTCTACCCTCTGTTTATGTCAACTCTTGTCATACAAAGAAAAGCCATATAAACAGTAAGAGGCACAATAAACTACTTTTGTGAGATTTTGTGGACTTTTCATTTCAGTGTGTTCTTCCTCATGCAAGAATTATCCGAAATGTCACTCATACAAGCAAAATATTTAGGAGTGCACAGTCTTCTGGCACTGTGAAGTTGTAGCTTTGATTGAATGTAACCACGCATTACCACGATTTATCAGTAGAGGGAGCTCTTGAACCGTGACTGCAGGGTGTACTGCTTGCAGCAGTGTTCACCCTGCATGGAGGATAAGAGTGGGGTCTGTTAGGTCATGGAGAGCTGTGGGTGCAGAGGCTAATAAATCACAGCCTCCTGCTGAACAAGGACATCAGATAAAGGTCTGTTCCTAAGATTTGTTCATTGCAGTTGGAGGAGTCCAGCTCATAGCATTACAAAGAAAAAAATCACAGACTTTTTCTCTTTCCTATAGTTTTGTCAAAAGATAGAGTAGTCTTGAAGACAAAGTAAATATGTCTGTTATGGTTTATTTATTGACTGTTAGAAAGGTAGACATATAATTCACAAAGAGTGCACTGCAGAAAGATGTACTCTACACTACAACACGTGAAAAATACATCTCAACATTCAGATGAAATATATATTAGAAGGCAGAAATATAATTGGCAACTATTTGATTTATTCATTGGTTCAGTCAGTTGTCAAGCAAAAATAGTTTTAAAAAAAAGGCCAAACATTCTCTCTGATTCCAGCTTCTGAAATCAGACTTGCTGTAATTTTCCCATATTATTGTAAATTGATTATCTTTGTGCTTGGGACCTTTATTGTTTTTTTACCAATTATTGTATTTCATAGACTTAATTAACCGAAACAATCATTGGCAGGAAAATTGATAATGAAAATAATCGTTAGTTGTAGCCTTAGATATTAATAATGTCCATAACAGAGGTCTGCCAGGGAAAATGAAAGTGATGCTTCCAGCTAAACAACATTTTCTAAGTTTTATTGGACTTGATATTTGATCTTGTAGAAGATAGCATCTTAGATCCGACATCTGAGTCTGTTTTGGTAATGAGCTGTGAAATATGAAAGTACATCGGGGCCTTAAACTCAACTGAAAGCCAACACATTTGTCTGAATATCTCCTGACCATAGTAGTGCAAACTACATTCGAAACAAGTAGGTAAGTAAAACAAGGAAACCCTTTGATGGCCTGAAACATTTTTTAGATTGGCCCCATAAACGTCACCAAAACCTCAAGAGTTATACATTTGTCACTGATTTTATAACGTCTACCTTGAGTACATCACTGTCACTCATAAGATCATGCTCTCTTGACATCCTGATAAAGAACAGGAACCCTCTTAGTAAAGGGCTACTGATAGTAAACATCTCTCTTTTTTCAGTGTACCAGTGTGGGATACTAATGCCTCACCTTGATTTTATTAATAGAGAGACCGAGAGAGTGAGAATCAGAGGAGGGTGATAAACAGAGATGAGATTCTATCAATTATACGATTGCTTTAATTAACTATCATTAAAGACAGATCAATAACACCAGACTAGAATTAAAATAAGGTCCATACATTATACACTATTTTACAAGGAACAATCAAATGGCCTCATATACTGAGCCCCTGGAAGATGTTGCCATGGGAACCCATGGGAGGGTTTGGGTGTGCTTGGGGGAATTTAAAGGAGCCGGTCAAGATTTCTATATACTCATCCTTCCACATCAGTGATGCTTGATTAACTAATTACTTGAGGTAGGAAAGGAAAAAAGGATGGAAATGTGTAAAGTAAGGCCCCTGGAAAAAGGTATAACAGTACAATGAATTAATAAAGGGTAAAAATCTCCCTTGTAATAATCTTACAGCCACAGGACATCAATTATTCATAAAAAATAGTAAAGAATCCATAAAAATGGGTCATGAGTGCGCCATACCAAAGAAATTCATTTGAATATTTAAACCCGGAGAGAGACCCTGCTGCATATCCGCTGAGTTTGCTCTGAACACAAGCAAACTGCAGTGGTACCTTAGTCAACACACAGGAGAGATAACAGAGCAGCAGAGGCTGGCTCCTCAGAGAGCGATCAGGAGGATAAAGCTCAGTGAACCCAAGTGCTCCTGGCAGCAGTTAGCAAGAAGGGCCTGGGCTAGGGGTGTGATAAAGACAGAGACTGGAGGTGCATGTGACCTGGGTTTGATGTGATAAAAAAAACAAACTGGAGGGTCTTCCTATGTGGACCTAATGCTATATATAAGAGGCATATATGTCATATGCTGGACGCATGGAATTGGGAACGCGGCCATAATGTGAAACAGCACATCATTTACATTGTGTCTCCAGCTTGGGTCAGAACAGACTAAAAGGACGTTTTCGTCATTTGTTACATATGCAGTGAATCCGTGGAGGGTTGGGAATCAGTCAAGGGAAGAGAGGAGAGGTGAGGGGAAGGTGAGAAACGTTTTCAAGTGCAAAGACCATAAATTTAACACCTTCCCCCTGTGCGAGCAGAGAGGCAGGCGGGCGATCTTAAAGAAAGGGTAATGGAGAAAGTGATGAAGAAACGGGTAAAGGTATCTGTGACAAGAGTAAGAATGGAGGGTGTGCCAGCAGGGAGGTAGAGGAAATAAACAAGGCCAGGTAGAAGGAAGGGGTGATTTGGGGAAGGGGAGCGAGGGCCGGGGAAGGCAGGCGTCGGGGTCATAAAAACTAGGAGATGTGTTCTGGCCTCTGGGTCTTCATATCTTTTACATTTCTAATTAAAAGAGATAAAGAGTGAGGGAGTCATCAATCCCACAGTGATTTCCCAGTTAAGGTTTTAGAGGGGGCTGTAAACTAGGCAGCCCAGCATCATTGATTTTATAATTAGCTATCGTCACCCCAGACTTAAGATGGAGGGAGTGTGGTAGGGGGGCAGGAGGAGAGCTCAAAAGAGGGAGCAGGCGACTGCTGGAAGATTGGGGAGGCACTGTGATGAAGATGATGAGGAGGCCTGAGGGGAGACTGTGGGAGAGACAAAGGTGAGTGGAGAGAAAATCCAGAATGAGAAATGTATGTGAAACAGGCAACGAGCCAAAAGGGAATATAGGTTATATAGCGGTGTGAAAAGAAATGGCATAGTTAATTACCAGTGAAATGTCATGTGAGGATCAAAATATTGCTATGATCTTTGGCCAGAAAAAGACACATTAGGCCCAATAATGGATACATAAACCGTTTTATTATGCAGAACCCCACCCAAACCCTGTTACATGACTAATAAGAAAATACACGGTGGTGTACATAACCTTCACACACAAAACTTCAAAACAAACCATAACCACTGGAGCTTTATTGCAATGGGAGACAGTGTCCTGACAAGGAGTACAAGTACTGGAGCTCGCAGTGGAACAACAAAAAAATAACTTCCCTAAGACATAAAGTCAGATTACAACCACAAACAAAGACTATGGAGAATACATGTAGTGTGCCATTTTCTGGGAAAGAATACCAAGCTCCTCAAAACATTCCTACTTCTATATAAGGAGAATCAACATGTGCAACACTGAAATACCTAGTGAGACAAGGTAAATGAGAGGTTGGACAGACATTTACTCCTTTCACGACTACTTTAATAATCAGTTTCTTTTGCAGATTTCCACCTCAACATGCTGGTATCATTCCCTTTCATTAGCACCAATATCTTGCAACAATATGACTAAAATATCAAAGTGAGTATTTGGAAACAGATGATAAAAACAAAAAAAGTTTAGATAAATGCGTAAACACACACTTCTAAATGATGAAGATAATGATGAAAGGACACAACTGACATATTAAGTATCCATATATAACTTTTCATCTAAAAACTCTTCTATAGTAAAAATAGGGTGCAAATACAGCAGATAAAATTAAGCATCAAAGTGTCTAGCAAATCTTCTTAGCCAAGCATGGAAAATTTTGTCACACATTGCACAAACAGTTGTGTGAAAAACAAACACCTATTTCAAACTAAACCTGAATATAGTTTCATTGCAGCATAACTCAAGTTAATTATAAATAGAAAATCATGAAAAATGCATACAGTATTGATTAAAAGGTAGGCAGCAATTTTTATTAGGCAGTATACTACCATAGGGCTAGGGGAAAATACCAACACCATGTCATGATGTCAGGATCTATAAAGATGATTTTCTTTGATTCTTTTCTCATTCTTTTAGGCACAAATTTAGAACCGCATGGATGTGAGATAAGATTTCTGTACAATATAAACTGTAACAAAGACCAACACTAAATATCCAAATGACTAGCTAGTAAATTAGCATTTCATTTCTCTAATTAGGAAATGTAAAATCCAGGATCATTAGCAAGTAAAAACCGCAGCTGATCTATAGTGAAAAGCATATGAGCATTAATTTTATAATAATGATGATATGAAGTTACTGAAGTAGAAAGTTGCATCTGGCATCTATCTTAATAGACTTTAAACACAATCTGTTCAATAAGCTCTCTATTTCAAATGCTTGTCCGTCTTAAAGCGCCTCTGCGTCGCTAAATCTCCTTAACTGCATCCGCATGACAACAATCAACTACTAATGCGTACAAGAAAGTGCATATCAAACCTTAGTTCTGAGTAAATGGAGGAGAAATATGATGTCATAGACCTACATTGCTGCAATATAATTCTAGCATGATGCTGTATCACTACTTTATGCTGTCATGAATAGTGTTCAAAGCTGCTGTGGAGAATTTAATGCTGGAAGAGAGTTTTGCCATGATTTCCAACGGAGCCGGGCCTGCACAAAACATCATAATTACAGTGCCTGTCATGACTCCTAATCACAAATGTCATAAAAACGACATAACATCCATCGTAAAGCTCTCGACATAGCAGTGATTCAACAGAAATCATTCTGCTACAGGCTGTGAACTCTCAAACGCCAGAGCCCATGCCTAAAACTGTGCAACAGTCTTATGTCAGTCATAAACACGGAGTTGACGTGCCACCACGAGCATTATGTCATTCCTAACAACAAAACAGCTAGGGCAATAACACAACAGTCTAGGAGGGGAAAACCAAGGTTCACGGCAGATACAATGTAAATTGCATATTAACATTTTGTCTGTGTAGTGAGTGAGCTGTATATGTGCTTGTTAGTGGAAGTAATGTGGGACCACATTAACTCCAAGGAAGTCCCCCTTCTCCTCTCCTTTTGATCACTTTCGCTGTGGCTGGATGTCCACTGGTTACCATAGCGAGGTGTCGGCCAGATCACTGGAGGAGGACACAAAGCAGAGTGTGTGCGTGTGTGAAAAATTGAAAGAAACACACATTCTGGTTGAAAGAGGAGGTTAGGCTGAAGGAGCGGGTGAGTGGGAGAGAGAGGGCTTTAATGATGCTGAAAATTGGCCCGTGACTGCGGTACACCCCCCAGGTAAATCATTGCTACAGCTTGCTGTCAACTTATCTGTCCCCTTGTCCTCCCATCTCGCCCCTCCCACGCCCCAGCTCTGTCTCACACAGTCTCCCTCGTCTCACCCTGACTCAACTTCTTTTACGACCACATATTCAAAACTTCCATCTTCCAGCCATACTCACCCTGTCGCCATAAATAATTGGTCGCATGCTGTGTGCATCAGCAAGCTATGAATTCATAGTGTACGCATGAAACTGTTTCTGTGTGAGACCAGAGGAAAGTAACTAAGTACATTTACTCTTGTACCATACTGAAGTACAATTTTAAATAAGTACTTCATGCTCCCATTTTGTGATATTTTAGGCTTTTTCTTTAACATGTATGGGAGAAATATGATACTTTTAACTCCACTGCATTAATCTGGCTGCTGTGTTCACAAATTACTTTGCAGAGTGAGGTTGTACACACAAATCAAGTCATGAGCTCATAAAATATGACGCATTGCCTGAGTTTAAAACCAGCCAGCATGACAGGAAGAAATTTGTTGGCTTGTTTGGCCTCAAAGAAATTTTCATTTTAATATGCAGTCAGTAATGCAAATCTCTGTTTTCGAACATTAAATCTTTAACTCTGTTGCATTCTGTTGTGATTGTCTTATCGTGTATCGCCTTGCCCTTCATTAGGGGAAATACATGCTAACCTAAATCCTGCAATATATCCTAAGAGAGGGCAAGTAGCGTGACCATGTTTCCATTCACATCATTTTCACCTTTATAGGCTGTTACAGCAACAGTATATAAAATAGTGATATTAGTTGCAACATTAATTACTTCCATGTGTTAATGCAACAACAATGTAACAGTGTGAGAGACAACTTGGGAAGAAGTACTCAGGTCCTGTACTTAAGTAAAAATTACCACTACAACAAAATAAAAATACAACATGTATAAAGCATTTTACTGTTGTAGCTTGAGGTTGAAGTAGTTTTAGCTAGCTAACTAATTTGAAGTAAAGTTAGGTAGTTCAGTCCAGTGGTTTTTAACCTAAGGATCCCTCCCCATTTAAAGGCTCAAAAAAGTGGTTGTGAGTTGATTAATGGGGCGCAAAAGACAAAAAAAAAGGAAAGAAATCCCAAGTTGTGTTTTGGACTTTTGTCAAATCTTTGCTTTTTTGTGAAATATCAGACACTTTTTGCTCTGTGAGCCTTGAAGAGTTATTTAGTTAGTTAGATTGTAGCTCACCTGTTAGCCCTCTACCAGGTGAGCTACTCTTCGCCCCCTACATTTCTATGGTTTTATGTAATATTACTTTAGTGATACTTTGAAAGTAACGGATATAAGTAAGTACTTTCTCCCCCTCCTGTGTATGTGTGTATATATTTTACTATGTATGAGTTTGTGTGTGTTTGAGGTGGGAGGTTGTACCTGAGAACAGTGTCCATGTGTTCAGGCAGCAGAAATGCTGTTTCCTCTCCAGAGCTGTGCCTTCCACACTGAAGTGGATCAGAATCCTCCTCCTTAACACCAGAGAGCAACACACACACACACACACACACACACACACACACACACACACACACACACACACACACACACACACACACACACACACATACACAGCTATTACAGTCTAATAACTTGCAGACTATTGGCCTAATTGCTTCTAGAAGATAATGTCTATATCCAACGATCCACTGCCCATGTTTAACTGTGTGCATGGCTACCAGCATGAAGACATAGCTCATTTTCAGTATCACATATAATTACACAATGGTGGCTGAGCGTGCCTCACCGAATCAGAGCTGTGTGCCAGAGTGTCAGTGCCAGCCTGGTGTGGCGAGGAGAGCGGGGCTGGCTGGTTGATGACCACTGCACTCCTCTCCACCTCCCTGGGGGAGGGAGGAGGGGTGGCAAGGAGCAAGGAATCAGGCTGGCCCTGCTCACACAGGCTGTAGTGTCCCAGAGGTCTTGGTGGACGGAGTGGCTGCAAAGCCTCTGGGTTTTCGTCCTCAGAGTCAGATAAAGCACTGCCAGGCTGCCCTGTGACATAGAAACATTGGAAAAAATTGGTCACTTTTCCTCAGAGCACTGCTCCTGTTGCCCACAACATAGGCAATTCTGAACAATATTTAGTGTTGTGGTTGAATGATAGTTAACACTTTTATTGTTCACATCTGCAGGGCATACAGTAGATTAATGTGTGGCTCCATTCACCTGTAGAGGTGATCGGGGCAGCGCTCCACTTGGCACTGGCCACTGTCCCCATCTTCTGCTCCAGCTGACAGATGTACTCCATCAACTCCTGTAGTGGAAAATATAGCCATCATATCACACACCAGGGCAGGACTCTCATGATGGTTTCAGCAGCCATTACCCTCATGATGTCCAACTTCTTTAAGCCAAAGCAACACAAAATAGTTACACAGTAAATACACAAATACACAAATACAACATTTGCTATTGTATAAAAATTATTATCGCACTAAAACACTTGTTTGATTTATGATGTGCCACAGACTGGCTACTATGCTCCCATATGGCAGATGTTAAAATTAAGCTGGACACTGATTTTAAAAACATTGACCATCTACTCTGCCAGTAGCGGGCAAATGTGACGGTGGTTAGCCAACAAAAACTCTGCAGGCACTTTAACAGCGGCAGCACTGACTGCCCTGAAATCCACTGATTTATATTGCACTATAAACAATTTATATTGCACAATAACAACTAAGAAGACAACAACAGACAGAAGATTCCCAACACCTGGGGCATTCATGATCCCAGTGTACTTGTGTATATGTTACACCGGTAAGCTTTAGGATATGAATATATTATCAATTCATAGTTTTAAGAAAAACATTATTCAAAAGGTGCACTCGAGCTTGAGAGTGTTATAAATAATGTAACTAAACTACTAAATTTTAAGCTGATAATGAAGTACTGCAGCTGTGAGCTGATTAGGATAAACAATTACAATTTACTTGTTAATCCATACAAGCCATTTATTCGCCTTAAGACCATATCAGATGATAATGAAAGGGGACAAAGTCATTACCTGTGATACCATACATGCACAGTGTTTACACATGAGAAATACCAATCCCAATTTACCCCTTTTTAGAAACAAACTTTCAGTCAGCAGGGATTAAAGTTGTCCCCTGTGACTAATCAAAAAGCGTTTCTGACCTGTTTCTCTGCAAGTAGCTGCTCCTTCTCTTTCTGGGCAACCCTCAGGCTGGCCTTCAGCTCCTGGAGCTCCCTGCGGGTTTCACTTAGTTGAACCTGCAGGCCAGATATCAGAGGACAACAGGGTATCAGAACCATGTAACAAATAATATAACAATATAATATAATAATATGACTTCAGAAGGAAAACTGTGTAGTATACAGAATAAATCTCAGTAAAGTTAAAGGAAAAGCTCAACATTTTGGGAAATATGCTTACTTGCTTTCTTGCAGAGAGTTTGATGAGGAAATCGATACTACTCTCATTACTGTATGGTAAATGTGAAGTCAGAGCCAACAGGCAATTAATTTAGCTTAGCATAAAGACTGGAAGCAATCATGGTGACGACAAGACTCTAGGAAGTCACTGTGCAAGGCCAAGGAATAGTTCCAGCATGCAAATCCCCATAAAACCACAACTTGTCGTTTTTACTCTTCTGTTTGTGTAAGGATTAAACAAACAAGAAGATACAACATGTTTATTGGAGAGAACTGATGGTAGGTGGATTTTTTAAAACTTTGGACATAGCCAGGCAAGCTGTTTTCCCCGTTCCAAGTCTTTATTCAAAGTTATTTAATTTATCATGCAGACCTAAGAGTGGTATCAATCTTTTTCAAAATTTCACTCTTGTCAAGAAAGCTGAATGACATCAAACTATTCCTTTAACCGGAATAGGAGGTTATGAATAGCAGTACATAAAAAATGTGTACACTTATATTTGTATAAACATGTTTAAGTGAACTCACAAAATGACCCTATAACAAGAAACACTGACTGCGGCAAGTTCTTCCTTACCCGGTTGCAATCCTTTTCTCTCCCAAGCTCAACCTCCAGCTTCACTCTCTCCATCCTCTCCTCCTGCAGCCGCTCCTCCATCCTCTGCATCTCTGTGTTGAGTTTCTCAAGACGCTCCTGGTCCTTCTGTCAGGGTGACACACACACATTTACTCAGTATATAACCTATACAGGACCATGTGTAAAAAAATTACCTCAAAGCTGCAACACACAATAAGATTCTTAGCTGAGCTATGGGTACATTTAATCTTGAAGCCATCACAAGCCATTCTAAACTTTAACTACCAAAGTATAAATATATCCGCATATTCTCCACTTCAAATTTGCTGTTCTGCAATGATACAATACCTCAGCATTGCGCTGCAAATACTGCCTCTCCTGGGCCCAGCGGGCTCTTCCTTCTCTAAAGGCCAGACTGGAATCTGCAAGCTGAAGGGTGAGTTGGGCGGCCTGCAGACGAGCCTGATGCAATTCACCCTGCCCCTGATCCCTCTGGGCTACCATGGAACTCAGATCACTCTTCAAGCCCTCTGCAGAACGCTCACTCGCGTTCAGACGCTCCCGCAGGCTCCGCATCTCCTTCAGTGTTGCCTCACTCTCCGCCTGGCCAAAAAGGAACAAGAAAGCGTGTGTTCACTACATATCTGTAACTGTTGGGGATTGTCTGGGGATGTGCAGCCTCATATGCAGCTAACTATGATGCACTTTGTGTTCTGACACCTTTCTATCAGAACCAGCATGAACTTTTTCAGCTACAGTGTTGGATCAGACCACACAGACACAGAGCCTTGGCTGCCCATGGCCCTGTCGCCAGTTCACCGCTTTTCCTTTCTTGGAGCACTTTTGATAAGTACTGATCACAGCAGACCGGAAACACCCCACAAGAGCTGCAGTGTTGGAGATGCTCTGACCCAGTCGTCTAGCCATCACAATTTGGCCCTTGTCAAAGTCGCTTAAATCCTCACAATGCCCATTTTTCCTGCTTCTAACACATCAGCTTAAGGGCAGAATGTTCACTTGCTGCCTAATATGCCATAAGGTGCCATAATAACGAGATAATCAGTGTTATTTACTTCACCCATCAGTGGTCAGAACGTCATGGCTGATCGGTGTACACTAATGAAAACATTCCTATAAATATAACATTGCATTACTGCCAATAGATCCTCCTAAATGTTCCACACTGGGCCATTAAGACAATTCTAGCAAAGGTTTAGAATGTGCTGAAACTCTTATTAAAAGCTGAGCATATTTATGAAGTAACACATCCATGTATCTGCCTCAATTACAGAGCAGAGGCACAACAGTAAACAACATCACATCTCCAGTAATTGAGATCATGTGTTTGACCCAAATAATTACTGGTCCCTGGTGCAAATACTTATCCACTTATAATATTAGTAAAACATTGCATTAAAAATGTCTAGTCCAGCTTTAACTATCAATCCATATATTTTTTCAAGACCCCCTTTTTAGTTCCATCCCCCCTCTTTTCCAAAGTAATGTCTGACCTCTTTCCTGTGGGCAGTGGTCAGTTTTTGGGTAAGGGTGGTGATGGTGCTTTGGAGCTGCAGGACACTTGTGTCTCTCTGGGCCAGCGAATTCCTCAGGCCCTGGAACTCCTTAGACAGACTTCGCAGTTCACCCTCTGTCTGTTCCAGCTTGGTCTAAAAGACAGAAATAAATGACACAGATGGGGAGAGAGAAGGAGATGTAGAAGAAAAGAACAACGGAGGCACAGGTTTTATTATGACATACAGCATGTTGTGAATTATAATTACCTGCAGGCTCTTTCTCTCACTCTCCTCTTCTTTTTTCTGAGCTCCAGCCCTCTTTGCTCTTTCCTTTATCCTGCACACACACAGTTCTGGTTACTGACAATCAAAGATATTCATGAGACTACAAAAAAAAAAAACGAGAAGAGACAAAGACAAAATAAGGAAATGTCGTACCTTTCCAACTCTGTCTCTCTTTCCACAATTCTCAGAGTCAGGGTTTTGATATCCTCCTCCAGCTCTTTGATTCGCATTTTGCTCTCCTCCCTCGCATCCAATAAAGTACTTTTCTCCTGGGCTAGTGATTCTCCTAAAGCCTGCTCCTCCTAACAGACCAGAGGCATTTTTAATTTTTATGAGGAATTTAAATTTATCAAGAAATAGACTAGGCTACCCATAGGGAAATATTTTACATTTAACATTTCTCAGACATTTTATTGAATTACCATTTAGAATTTTATAATGAAAAGACAGGATATTGTTTAAGCAGAAACTTTGCTTGCTTCTTTAAAACAGAAGGCCACCATTGACAGTACACATGTAAGGCACAGATACATATGAAAATTGTAACAGGCAAATATGTACTAATCAAATGATTTCATTTGCCTAGGTCTATAACGCACCTTCTGCTTCCTCTCCATCTCCTTGATCTTCTCTTGACTCTGCTTCAGCTCTTCATGCAGCCAGGTGATATCACTTTCTAACTCTTTGCGTCGTCTGTCCCAGGCCTCTCTCGCCCTCTTGTACTCCACCTTCTCTTTCTCCCTCTGCCTGTTTGCCGCCTCTTGCACCTGCAGCAGTTCAGCGCGCTCTCGCAGACATTCCTGCAGTCGACTCTGACACAGGCAGTGAATGGGGAATCATAATTGAGCTCTAGTCTTTGTGTGCCAACAGTAAACAACAGTATTGATTCCCCAGCATATGTGTTTAAAAAGCACTCATTAATTTTGCAAAACTGAAAACATACTCTCATTCACTACCTTATCTAGTCAATCTATTCTGTGTTTGTTATGCTCACCTGCAGAAGTTCAGCCCTGGGCACTACGAGCAACATATCTGTGCCTCCTTCCTCTCCATGGGGCTCCTCCTCAAGGGTCACCAGATCCTCAAGTGGCTTTGGAGCGGAGAAAGTGAATTTGGAGCTGCGGGAGCACACTTCCCCCTTAGCATCGATATATACAAACTCATACTCCTGGGAGCTGGGCTTGGGTAGGTAGGAGGCTAAAATGTGGTAGAAAACCAAAAAAAACCCTCATGTTAAAATGTTTTTGAGCTGGCTTTCACTTATGCTATGAGGTAAATGGCATATGGCATGACACAAGGTGGAAGCTAAGGGCACTTAAGGTAATTTAACTACCTAACGTTACAATATTTTAATGGTACAGTCTGGTACTATTTTGGTATTTATATTTGATTAAACGAATTTTTGTTGTATTGCAAAAACATAGATTTTTGTAATACATCTTCCGACCACTAGTGGCAGCACTCAGGTAGCAAGTGCAGCTCAGGTGAGCAAGAAAAAAAAATGGCGTTGCGCGCCATCTTTGAGTTTACAGTGGTCATAAACACATTGATGGGAGCTACCCTTAAGAATTAGCTGAAGTTCTGCTACTTTTCCCATCCGGATATGTCGTCGAGACGTCCAGTTTGCTTTGGGTAAGTTCCCGTTTTCATTATTCTTCATTTAAAGTAACTTCATAGGCACAGAAAACGAGAAATAAGTAAGGTCACTCCAACGGTCCTGCATCAGAGCTAGCTAACTCTTGACAAGTGTTGCTTCGCAAATGACCTGCTTTAATGATAACCAGCAGTGCTTAAAGATATACTCACATCATGTGGCGGTGTATTTCGGTCTTACTCGGGTGGTTAGACGAGAATATAAAGATTCATCTCTGTTCAGGTGAGTGATTGACTCAGGACCTGTTCAGCCTAACAGGTGAAAACGTCTAATTAACGGTAACCTCCGTCTAAGCGTTAAAGCTAACGTTACATCCTCCAGTGACTGCATGCAGTAACGTTAGCACGCAACCACAGTCAACTTCATGTTGTTCAGAAAGGTAGTGAAAACGGACACTATATGGGGACAGGACCTCTGAGGAGCAGCCTGCAATCACAGGGCCCTGCTGTTTTGGTCAGTTCGCTAATTGGCTAACAAACATGAGCTCCATTGGCTCTAATACTCCTGTAAACCATCCAGTCTCTGCCAGCATTGATAATGCAACTAACTGGTTTCTTGACTAGTTAGGCTTATTAGCATAGCTAGTGAATCTTGCACCTGACTCCACATCTCCACATTCCTGAATCTCTGTTTAATTTTATCCACACAGGCAGAAACTGATGATGTTTTATGCCTTCTGTCTCCCAGTCTGAGAGAGAGAGAGAGAGAGAGAGAGAGAGGGAGGCCACTGACTTCATCCAGCCCATAAAGTAAGCTAACCTAATATTATCCTTATCTCACACCGGCTACAGCTTCATGTTTAGAAATGATTTACTTGTAAATCCTGTTTCACAACACATGTACAGTAAAGGCGACTAGATGGAAAACAGACATTAGAATGACTTAGAGCGAAGTTTATGAGCTGTATTGTAACTTACAGCACCGGGTTGGGTCACAGTGCAGGCCACCTTCTTTTTAAATCACTGCATCACTGATGATAAGGAACCATCTGCAGTTTCCTTAAACCTTCCTTCCCTTCCTCTGCTCTTCTTCCAATAAGAAACGCCATTGACAGTATGCTTAAGTTAGTGATAAATCAGAGGTCAATGCCACACCTGCTGCACACGTGCCCCTCACACTGAATCAGGCTTATCAGTTGCCACTGACAGACAGGACAGAGTGAACACTGTACTCTCCAGTGAGTAGTAGTCAGAGCAGGCTGTGAGCCATTGTCTATGTCATCCTCATTACTCAACCTCCTGCATTGTAAAGAAATTCATTCAAACCATGACAGAAACTGTGTCTTTGTTATAGACCAAGCTAAGAGGGATATTTGTCTTCTGCACTGGATATTTTGCCTTTTTACATCTGTGGAAATACTCTTTTTAAGATAGAAATAACTAACATTGTCCTCCACTCAATACGCCATCCTTTATACAACAGAGCAATTCAATTTACAGAAGCATCAATCTCCCGCTGAAGGTTTTATGTGCGGATGTAAGCACTGTACTAGTATAGATTCTGGCTAACTACGGGAAATAAAATACAATTAGAAAACAAGGGCATGAGTACCCTGGAAGTGCACGCAGCAGTTGACATCTGTGCCCTCTTGATAATCAGCTGGGGCCAGTGCCCAAACAAACGTGTGGTAGTCCTTCACTGACGACCATCCCACCTGAGGAAGAAAACATGCACACACTGTTATAATACATATACGCCTTATTCACTTGATTTCTGTGACAGTCATCTTGTTAACAATACCTTGAAGAGTCCTATCCAGTCATTGCTGGCCCAGTTGTGCTGTGAGCTCAGTGTGTAGTGGCAATCGACTCTGCTCTGGGGGAAGTAACTGCAGCCCACATTTCTAAACTCCACCAGCCAAGCCTTCTCCATGGTAACACAAAAGAAAGGCAGGCTATTCTATTTTCACCTACGGAGAAAAACACAATATTCAAAGTTGAGTTTATGGTTGTTGTTTATTTTTTATTTTGTTAGGTTATTTGCTATTAGTTCAAGGTAGAAACTGACGTGTGGTTATTTGAGCTAATTTTGAAATAGGTAACAGGTGAGCACTGGAGAACAAAGAGGACAGAGGCAACAGTCTGTGAATATTTATTCAGTGTAAGGAGATATCCTGACTGAGCGCACACACTTGAGGAGAGGACACCAGAACTAAACCTCAACGACAGCATGGCCTTTGAGCAACATGACATATTACGTGTTTGTCACCCGTGCTATTTCAGTCATCGTCAACAGCATTTGCTATTGTACACCGTCACATGTGAGCGTGCAGTACAAGGTGTCTGGGGCCTCTAGCATATTTGGGGCTAAAATTCCACAAGAGCATACACTAGCCTTGAATTTTAAGGAACTACAACCTGCAGCTAACTACACAACCTAAAGACACCTGTGCCCTACAGAAAGCATTATTTATTAATTTAGTACTGACACCACTCTAGGCCATATGTGCCTAACTGTTGTTAGGGATGTACCCTGACTGGCAGAAATGTAGGGACTATCAACAGACTAATATGACAGAATATGCAAGGGAAAAACAATGACAGCTCGATTTGGACTTACTGTGTGCATATGCTGCACTTGTGGATTAACTTGTGACTTTCCCATACTTTATATTTATCTCCTGTTGTACAGTCACAATACGACTATAATTATAGGGGTGTTGGGTTTTCTATTTTGGTAACGCATCCCTCGAAACTGAGAAATAGGGGAAGGACCGTCTCTAGTGTAAATATTGCAATGTAGTTTGCAGATGCAGTCGAAAACCACGGATCCGTGACGAAAATCTACAGTAGCTTTCAGAGGGGTTCACATTACACCGCACGAGGCTTGAGGCCCAACAGTAGCACATGTCGAGGAAACAGTGTGGCATGCACGTCGATGCAAGTTTAGGAAGACAAACGTGTAATCTGAAGCATTACATGTAGCTTTTAACCTGTACTCGTTAATTATCTGGGTCCAATTAGTTCATCTGCAGCGCTTGCACATCAGACGTGACAATAACAGGCTTTGTTAACTACAAAAGACATCTGCGCACATTATCTCTCGGCCGTCTCTGATGTCTCGCTTACCTTTTTTTTTTTTTATCGCCCTCACTTCTTTGCAAACAGTCTAAACGAGCCGCCTCTCTATCAGATACAGGAGTCACAATCCGCGAGAAAATAACTAAAACATGAGCGATACAGTCGTGCTTTCCTTCTCGGGCTCAGTTGCTCCACTAACCTGAAACAATAACAAAAAACCAAAGCAAAACACAAGCATGACAGCTTCACTTCCACCGCGGAATTATGGGAGCTGTTGTTCACAGCGTCTGTAAAACAGCTGAAATAGCGCACTTTAAACTACAACCCCCAAGCACAAAGCAGAATAGCAGCGGTCGCAATGGACGTAATATGATGCCTCCCATCGGCCAACGTTATTTTTCTCATCTGGTGTCAAAGACCAGAAAGTCATTGGTTGTCCCAGAGTGTTGTGAAGACTGGCCAATGGAAATGAGCATCTCTTCTGTGCGGTGAGGAAAGCAACGATCGGCGGGTGCAGAGTGGGAGAGGGAAATTTGACCCTTGTTCACTTGCTCGCTTTCTAATTTGCAACCGTTTATCTCATAGGCTACAAAAGATCTTTTGGATATATTTGCATTGTGACTGTTTTTGTTGTTGTCAACATTATTATTTCCGTGTAACCGGATGTCTATGCACACTATGAAGGCTGTTTCACTTGAATGACAGTAAAACACAATTGGTTCTCTGCAACCTGCACATAATCTATAACATTTAATGGTTCTTTGTTTGAATTTTTTGCTAATCAGTTGAATCGATGTCCTACAGGAGGCTGTCCCAATTAAGCAGATTTACTGAGGTATCTGGTGGAAGAAGCACTCAAATCCCTTACTTAAGTAAAGGTACCAATTACATAGTGTAGTAATACTCTGCTAATTGGGCTATTATCAAAATCGCAAGTAGGCCAAGTGCAATATCCAAATTATTACAAAAGTACAAAGTACTCATTATGTAGTAATGGATTAATATGCAAGCATCACTAATGTTGTAAAGGTGGGGCTTATTTTAATTTCTTTGTGTACTGCTGCATATCTTAATTCATACAAATACATCATTATTTATCAGTTGATTTATATTTTTTTATTAATCATCTGCCTGCAAAATAGCAAGTAACTAAAGCCAACAAAATATACATTGTGGAGTAGAAAGTACAATATTGGCCTCCAAAATGTAGTTAAGTATGAAGTAGTATAAAATGGAAATAAATTGTACCTAAGTACAGTAGTTGATTAGATGTAGGCCTATTCATACATTCAGCCACTGGTTTGGGGAGGAAAATCAGTTATTGGAAAAGATCTTTTGACATCAGTCCATGTTTCAGATTTGATTGGGAATTTGGGTTTTATTCAAGATGTGAAATCCTACTTTTTGTAACTCACCCCAGTTTGTCAATTGGTTTGAGAGATGCCTCACATCTGTGTGCTTTGTAACATGTGGGGGTTGCAAATACAACAGCATGATGATGATATCGTGCCGAACAGCAGATGGCAGTATACCATCTTGCAATCCCAATGCTTTGTATTCAGAATGTCACATATAGGCCTTATACTCTAAAGCCTCTATAACACACAGTGCATGCTCTTTAGCCTACTGAGACTGGGATTATAGTCTTTGCAAGCATTTTTTTGTCTATTTCCATAACTTTGTAGAGAGCTCAGATTAAATGAATGTACTATTTAATTATGCTGCAGCATGAAATCTGAAACAGAAAAATTAAGACAGTTAAGGCTGACATCTCCTAAACTTTGCATTCATCAAGACTGGTGCAGTGAGATGACGACAGTCATTACAACAACATGGGAGATGATAATACCCCAGGATGAGGAAAATATCAGTGTTAAGTGGCAGTGTATTACAGTAATGTGTTAAATTGTGTGTGGACCAAAGTCTCTAATTGTGACTTTTTAAATAAAAGACATTTAAATATCGGCTTTGTAATCAAATGTGAAGTTGGTCTTGAAGCAATGTGAAATTTAAATCAGGATTCAAAATAATGATTAACACAGTCTCGGTTGCTGTACTCTTAGTTACGGCATAAACAACATTATAGCAGTAGAAATTAAAGTTAGTATTTAAGCTTTAAGGTTATCAAGCCTCAGCAACTGAAGCTTAAATAATGCTCATACTATATTATTATAGTTATTGATGTTCTTCCCATAGCCGGCTTATTTATCTCTCCTCATTGACGAGTCAGTCCAGTCACACAGTACTTTACTCCTCCTCAATTAGTAAGTCCAGTTTGGCTAATTTAGTCTGTTGAAGACACTATAAGGACGCTTCATGTAATTTTATGCCGACGGACAGTCGATGTTGAGACCCTATAAATTGTGTTTAAGTGGATTAATAGTGTGCTGAGCCTGTGTGGGCAAAGTGATGCTGGAAGTAGTGGCTCTCTATGCAGTTGGATAATTAAATCGTTCGTACTGCAAAGACTAGCTTATTCAGTAGCCAATGTTTACATGTGTGTTTTAGTCCAGGATGAAATAATGTTCAATTTCTTGATTTTATTTTGTTGCAACTGTAGCTTTGACAAGATTTACAATGGATGTCTTGCTTCTGCTTTGTTTTATATCATGATTCTTAACCAGCATGAAAAGTCAGATATGCAGAGATATGAAATGCCTCTTTTCAAATTAATCATATACTCTGGTTATATACTCTCAGTATACTGGCTTTGTACTTGTTTGAGTAATTGTTCGGTGTCCTGTGGTAGTGTTATTTCAGAAAACCTTATGGCAGACCTCAGATAGCCTTGACTTTGAAGCATCACTGTTGTGTGAAGTTAGAAGCAGGCCGTGCAGTAGGAATGTGAGGCTTCACCCTAATAGAGACTAGACTGAAAGTGGATTGTCCATGAAACTGCTTGATCTTGACCTGGCTGCCTGCTGTTATGGCTCCTGTGTCTGTCACAACCCCCCATTCTCACCCCCAACACACGCACACACACACACACACACAGACATGCACGCACACATGCACGCACAGAGACATACCATATAAATGAATGTTTTCTTTGGAAAGTGTGAACTGGAGTAATATCAACACTTTTAAGCATTAGGTAGAAAAAAAGCCCCACTATCAACTGTTCTGGCACAAAATCCTCAGCACGCTGTTTATTTATCGGTTGTAGTACTATTCCACACAAATTTAATCCCTGTCGTCTGCTGATTTCTAGCAGCCTGGCTTGGAATTCCTCTCAATATAAGAAAATGGTATAGCCCCTGAGTGCTACTGCAGTTTTATTACATGAGGTGGTCTGTCTGAATATAGCTTACCACATGTCTCATTCAAAGGGAATGGCAGGTATGTGTCACTAGTCATAAATTGTAACTTGCCTTCAGCAGTAATCAGTTGCCAAGGAAACCTCAAATGGGATTATGACCTTCTGTTGTGTATAGGCAAGTAAACTGTTAGAGTTGTCGACATCCAAGAGACAAACATTAAAGATTTATGTCAGTAAACAATTTATTTTCTCATCATAGTAAAAGTGTGTGTGTGTGTGTGTGTGTGTGTGTGTGTGTGTGTGTGTGTGTGTGTGTGTGTGTGTGTGTGTGTGTGTGTGTGTGTGTGTGTGTGTGTGTGTGTGTGTGTGTGTGTGTGTGTGTGTGTGTGTGTGCTTTCTAGAAATATAAGTATGCAATTTTTAAAGATGGTTGAATTTAAAGCAGTATGAGCATGTTTGAGTCAAATAACGCCACTGTGGGGTGAGTGATGTAATCAGTGGGGGCTGTGTGACCGTATAGTCAAGGAAAGGCATTAGAAGGGTAGAAAACAAAGAAAGAGGGAGTGGGAGCATAGTGCCTGGAAGGAGGGCAGAGTGTTGGGAGGGCGGAGACAGAGAAATGGGGGACGGTGGTATTTAGTATGCACGGCCAAGCTGCCCCATCTGCTTAGCGCAGCAGTCCCTGTCGTATAACTGTCTACAGGCCGTGGGCCACATAAAGAATGTCTCAGATTTGATGTAATTCCGCAAAATTAATGACAGCTTTACTCGGTATGGGCCGTGAGGGAATGATTAGTGTTTGATCGTCCATCTGATCAGTTCCCCTGGCTGGCTGCAGGAGAGATGCTCGACTATATGCCGGCATGCTGCCTATGGCAAGCACATACGCACACACGGATACACCTATCCCAAAATCATTCCTGGGCCCCCATGCTCTTGTTTAGGGTTGAATTCTGGTACTTGTTTCCCTCAACACAGACAACCAATCTCTTGTTAAACTCTCTGAGATGTGATACTTCACATCAAAATGAACACCTACTGATGGGCTGGATGCAGGTCCCACTGGTGGTGTGATTGTGGACAGGGCAGTTTTTATTTCAGGCTGCGCAGTATTTCAAAGGAAAGTGGGCCAACCAGCATCCAATTTAGAGAACTCAGAGGTCACACTATGACCTTTTACAAGATATGCTTTACTGCACTTGTGATTGGAATTGGGTATTAGTTTTTAAAAGAGATTGGGAATGGATTGGGAATTTGAGAGAAGAAATTGATCCACTGGATGGATTGCAGGAGTTGGACAAGTGGAATTCCACTCCTCCTTTTAATTCAGCCTCATCTCAGCCGGCCCAACCCCCATCTCTTTCCTCCTCTTGGGTTGCTGCGTTTACAAGCGAAGGGGGCATTCTGTTTTACAAGTGAGCCTGGTGCGTCTCGGTGTGCTAGCAACATTAAAATTGAACCCGTCTTATCTGTGCAAAGCGTGAGGCTTTACATCAGAGGCTGTCATGCTGCTGCCATGAGGCTCCCGTGTGCTTTTATGTAATGTGGTGCAGTCAAAAACCCAGCGGACAATTAAAGTGAGCTGATAGATAAACAAGTGATTGAAACCAGGGATGTTAGTTTGTGGAATGTAAGGTAGAGTTGGGGGAGGGTGGCCATTTACTATTGTTAACAAGGCCAAGTCCAACACATGACATGCATTCTTTAGCCAAATCAAATGTCATCATCTCTTATGAACAGACTTATCTGGGGAGAAGTGTTGTTTTCAAAATCGTACCTTTTCTGTGCTGAGTTGCATATGGCAAAGCTAATTTCCCATCTGACCATTAGCACTCTGGTCCAGTACCAAGCGCGGGGAGCCCAATTCAGTAAAGGCTTGGGGAGGGTTGTGTTTCTGCCAACACAGATTGTTGGACAGATTGGCAATCCTTCACTGTGTATGGATGCAGTGTTTTTCCCTGAAATTGTCGGCC